TTTGGCGTTAGGATGTATGAAAACACGTGACTATGCTGTTGGAAATTTGGATGTATGGAAACAAATATATGATTCTGTTTATCGTTTTGGTGTATGGTAACACGTGACAATGCTGTTTGACGTAAGGATGTATGGAAAAGCAATTTAATGCTGTTTGGAGTCTGATTTTTATGTATGGAAATATGTGACTATGCTGTTTGGCGTTAGGATGTATGGAAATACGCGAGTATGCTGTTAGGCTTTAGGATGTATGGAAACACGTGATTCTGCTGATTGGCGTTAGGTTGTATACAAACACGTGACTATGCTGTTTGACGTGAGGATGCATGAAGAAACATTACGATGCTGTTTGGCATTAAAATGTATAGAAACAAGTGATTATGCCATTGGGCGTAAAAATGTATAGAAACACGTGATGTATGGATGTATGGAGATCCGTTACTATGCTGCTGGGCGTAAAGACGTATGGAAACACGTGACTATGGTGTTGGGCGTTTGGATGTATGGAAACACGTGATTATGCTGCTGGGCGTTAAGACGTATGGAAACACGTGACTATGGTGTTTGGCGCTAGAATTTGTGGAAACACATGATTATGCTGTTTGGCGTTTTGATGTATTAAAACACGTGACTATGCTGTTTGGCGTTTGAATGCATGGAAACACGTGTCTATGCTGTTTGGCGCTAGGATGTATGGTAACATGTGACTATGCTGTTGAGCATTTGTATGTATGGAAACATATGACTATTCTGTTGGGCATTTGGATGTATGGAATCACGTGACTATGCTGTTGGGCATTTGGATGTAAGGAAACAGATAACTATGCTGTTTGGCATTATAATGTATGGAAAAACGTTATTATGCCGTTAGGCATTTGGTTGTATGGAAACATGTGACTTTGCTGTTGGGCATTAGGATGTATGGAAAGCCGTGACTATGCTGTTGGGTGTTTGGATGTATGGAAACACGTGATTATTCTGTTGGGCATTTGGATGTATGGAAACATGTGACTATGCTGTTGGGCATTAGAATGTTTGGAAACACGTGATTATGCTGTAGGGCATTTGGATGTATAGAAATATGTGTCTATGCTGTTGAGCATTAGGATGTATGGAAAGACGTGACTATGCTATTTGGCGTTAG